CCCTCCCATTTAAAAAGAGAACTTCCAAGGGGCGCAATACAACCCCGGGGGAGCAATGAACCGAAAAAGAGTCCGCCCTCAAACTTAGAAGTAGCGTTCCCCCTCGGGCGGACAACATGGCAGAACAAACCCTGCAGCTTTGTTATCCAGGACGGGGCGCGACCAAATTGAACAGGAACCGCGCAAAAGGGGAAGACCCCACCCCTCCGGGGAAATTAAGGCCTGCAACCGCCCCGGAAAGGAGGAAAAAGGGGGCCTTGGGGAGAATCCGGGCCCTGCCCCCCCCCCCCCCCGAGGGGAGACGAGAGCTAGGCCCCCCCCCACGAGCGGGGTGGACGGCCGACGCGTGGAACCGCGGCTGGAACGGCCGCATGGGCAGGGGGCATCCCCCGAGGCCCCACCCCAGGAGATGCGGCGGCCGGCACCGCCATCAGGCCCGCCCCCACCAACACCACCCCCGCCCCCGCCGCTGGAGCGACCGCTGGGTCGAGGGGCCAACTCTGAGGCCCCATACCAGGCGGTGCGGCCGCCAGTGCCGCCACTGTTTCCGCCACCCACGCTGCCACTTCCGCCCCCGCCGCTGGAACGGCTGCAGGGTCGTGGGGCCGCCCCAGCGGCTCCACACCAGGCGCGTTGGCCGCGAGGGCCGCCACCGTGCCCGCCACCCCCGCCTCCGCCTCCACCCCCGCCGCCGGCGGAGCCGCCACCGTGTGGCCCCACTCGGAATAATCAGAGGGATCCGGAGCCGCCCCACCGGAGGCTGGAGTACCCGAGAGGAGGAGCTGGGGGAGGGGAGTCGCCGCAATACGATAACGGACCCGCCGGCGAACCGGAGGGCCGTGGCCGGAGGGCCCCGGGGGGGGCTTGGGGTCAACTCTCGGAGGAGGTGAGAGTCGAGCTGACTCGGCCTCTGAGAGTGGAACCGGGCCGTGTGAGCCCACCAGGGGTAGACCCGTCGCGGCGTTGGATAGACCGCCGTGACTTACGACAAAAGGGACCGCGCCTTCCCGAGTTTAGTGAGGAGCAGGAGGAAGGGGAGGGCGAGCCGAGAACGATAGAGAGGCCACGGGTGCGGGCGCGACTCGCTGACCGGGGAGAGCCGGCCCGACCTCCCGGAGAGGAGTGGCGACGAGTGATGCCGCCGCCCTCACCCGGGGAGTCGGGCGTGGGATCGCCGGAGGCGGAGTCGACAGGATCAGGCAGAGAAGACGAGACGGCGGCGGGGCCGCAGCCGAAAAAGGCTAGGAGGGGAGGCCGGGCCCCGCGCCCGTCGCACAACTATCGGGATGCGGCCAGGAGGAAGGACCGAGAGGTGGGGGAAGACGCCCCGGAGTGAAAGTTGGGAGACCTCGAAGAGGGGTCCGGTGTGGTGAGGTGCCGGGTGTGGATGGGCGTCGAGTCCGTGTCGAGTGTTTACTAGCTCCGAGTAGAGGGGGCGTTCTGCTGCTAGGGGAAACCTGGAGCGCGGAGCTAACCCTCGGAGACCCGTGTTTACTTTAAGGCCCTTGCCCTGCGAATGCGCACCCCCCCCTAGCTAGGGGTCAGGGCTCTCTAGCCCGTAGCCCGATGCCGATCATCCGGCTCGCTGGGTGCGCTTCTCAGCTCCCCGGCCCTGGATGTGAGGTTGATGACTGCACTCCAAGTGCTCCAAGTGCAACCAGTAGGAGGCCCGCGCTTGCCCCCGTGCCGCCGGGTGCAACCTGTCCTATACGAGAGAGGAATCCCTGGGACCCTGTCGTGAGGTGAACCCTGCCCAGCCCCCCTCCGTGTCGCGATGCGCTCCCCGCTCCCGTTCCCCGGTGTCCCTGATCGTCCTTACAAGATCCTGCTCGTGCAGGTGGGGACCCTGTCCTTCTCCCACCCCTCGTTTGGCGTGTCCGTTGTATTTATTTATTTATTCAATGATAGGGATCCGTCTGGAAAAAGGATGCTCGAGCCCCCGGCGAGGGCTTGTGCTGTGATTAGCAGGCGTGGTCTCTACTCGCCAGGCAATCATCGACCCGTGCCACAAAAAGTGTTTCGAGAAATTCCACGATGATGGACCCGCTCGGAATAACCTGGGGGATCCGGGACCGCCCCGCCGGCATATACTGCGACTGTCGCGCTGTCGCGCCGCAGATGTTTGAGAGTGCGGAGTTTAAAAAGGTCCTGCCAGGCGCCCGTCTCCGCGGCACACAGAGCGGGAGATAGTCAATAGATGTGACTGGATTGTGTCCAGCCGCGGTTGCTCAATAGTGTACATAGGGAAGCGACCAGCAGGGACGAGACGCGCACACTCTCTCCTCGACTCCACATATGCACACACTCGCTACAAAAAAATCCACAGGCTCGCCTGAGACGGCAGACGTCCCTACTACATCACATTGCAGTAGCTGCCGGCGTCTTCCGGGTTGTAGCCCCGCGTAAGCCGCTCGATGGGCACGTCGTGCTCGAGCGTCCCAGCAACATCGACAACGTACTGAATCGCGGGGAAGCTGCGCTTGATTGCGTGGATTTTGCCAAACCGCGGCGCATCGCTAGCAGCGTCGAGCACCACCTCCTCGCCCACCTCGCACGGCACATCGCAGGCGAGGCAGAGGCTCTCGCGCTTCACGTCGTACTCCACAGTGCCCTCGTGCACACGCTCCGACAGTTCGATGGCGTAGCCAGGAGGGAGGCCGCGGGAGAGAGCGATGATGCGGCCGAATCGCTGTTTGCAGCCGGGGCGGGGATCGTCGGAGCCTCTGTCAACGCAGACCTCGTCGCCGATTTTGAGCGTCTCTAGCGACATGCCCGAGAGAGCGGCAAGCGATACCAGCGCTCTTGGGGCGGCGGGCGCACAGAGAAATAAAAGAATTTCCCCCGCGAGGTCAAGAAGCTGCCCCCCCCCCCCCGAAATTCTGAGGAGCCGCGCAGCGCCTAGGTATGTCTTCGACTATTTTATGGCTATAGGTATGAGTGTGGTGGTGGGCGCGCGAGGCGGAAATTTTTCTTCTGGCGGCATGAGCAGTACCCCAGCACGCAGCAGCCAAGCACCGCGCCCATCTCGCGCCCCCACCGGCACCCCGGGGCGCGCGCCCGCCATGGCGCCCGCGCTCGGGGTCTGAGCCGCCGGGGCCCATTTTTTTCGTTGTGTGTGGCTCTTACGTACATTCCCGTAGGAGGACTCTGCTGACAGAAAGAAAGAAAGAAAACACACAACCCAAGGGAGGGATGGGAGAACGGCACGCCGCCACCACACAGGGATTTTAAGGAGAGGAGTGTGGTGCGCTAGCCGTCGCCCACCCTGGGGAGTCTGCCTCTTCGTATCTCTTTTCGCAGTCTCTCGCCGCTTCTCGCTGCCACCTTCATGCCACCTCGCGGCCGTCCCACTCTCGTCGGTCTCTCCCTTGTCACTTCCTCCTCTGTCGCGTCGTTCTCTTCTGCCTCGTCCTGCGACGCCGCCGCCTGCCGGTCCCTTGTTCTCGCGGCTTCTTTCGCCTTGCGCAACTCCGTCCTCCTCGCGGCGTATCCTGGCCCCTCGAGTCTATCAAGCTCCCCTCGCGCAAGGACCACATTTCTGACTCCCACGGACTCTGCTAAAGAAAGAAAGAAAGAAAACAGACAACCCAAGGGAGGGATTCTGCTGACAGGGTTTGCGAGGAGGACGGAGAATTTTTTTGGAGGCCTTTTTCGGCGGCTGGGCGTCGCCCTCGGGAGCGCCTTATCCGGCAGCCCCAGGCCGCGCTCACGGCAGCCTCTTCACGTAGTGGTTGGAAGGGCAGCGCTCGGCAGCAGACCGTCCGCTCACCTTGTCAATGAGCTCTTCGCGAGGCTCCGGGGCGTGGGACGCGAGTCGGCGAGCGAATTCAGAGAGTGCGGTGGCAGCATGCGACTTCCGCGAGGACTTTGCTCGGAGGGCGTCGTCCGAGAGTGCGGTCGCAAGTCTGCGAGAGACCGCTGATGCTCGCCGAGTGATATCGTTCCTACCTCTCATCACCCTGCCTGCTGTCATCATGGCGGCACGGAGAGCACCACAGCGATACAGGGTGCCCGTGTTTGTAGCGAGCCTGGTCACCTTCAGCATCGTGTCAAACGTGATGTATAATACACGGCGAGGTGAGGAGTGAGTGTGAGCTGTGAGGGACGGCGCAGCGAGGGCTGCTGGTGGCTGAGACTTCATTGCGTCAGAGAGCCGTCCCCGTGTGTACACGGATGACTGTGAAAATCGTAACATTTTCTAACCCGACTCCCGAGCCACCGTACGAGGTGTGTGAGAGAATTGAGTTCGGCAGTTACATGCGTGTTCGAGTGTGAGACGTGAGACCACTCAGTGAGAGAGACCCCGACAGCGCGACAGCGACACAGTCACAGACAGGGAGCAAAGATTGAGAGCGGAGTAGACTGTCCTGCAGAGCGATACATCGTCTCATACCGACAGATTAAATCCGCTCGCGATCTCTGGGAGTGCTCTCCACAGCAGCACGTCCGACGAAGAGAGAACCTCCTGCCCAAGCGGTCGCCCGCGCGCGCGCGTGAGCGCTGGCCACGCACAGTCGTTCTCTCGCGAGGTAGAGGAATTTTAGCAATACCAAACAACTCTAACACTCACACATCAATTGTCCCGTGAATGTCCTTCATCTACACATGCGCGACGCCAGAGTTGTCAGACGCAACCCAAAAGGCAGACTCTGCGGGTACCCAGACTCTGCCCGCACCAGGCCTAGCTAGCGCGCAGCGGTGGCGACGATGCCTGGCTGCGGGGCCGCGTCCATTGCGTAGCGGACGCGGCTCTCGATGTACCGCCGCCGCTCACGCGGCCCCTCCAGGCGGTGCCACTCAAAGTATGGAACCTATGCACACGCGGGGCGCCGTGCGATGGGGCGTGCTCTCTCACAGCTCGCTGGGCGGTGCTGCTCGAAAGTGGGGTACGTTTATCACGCGCCAACCGGCCGCCATCAGCTGGCGCCGCTTGAGCAGGGTGGGGCCGCTCGGCACTTGCTGGCCCAGCAGGTCGAGGGAGCAGCAAAAGTGCGTCGGGCCGTCGACCTACGCGCCCCAGCACGCAGTGTCACCACACCCCGTGCTCGGCGGGGCGGACTGCGGTGGGCGGACTGCGGGAGCCGCCTCGACTGCGATTCGCATCGCTCGCGACGCAAAGTCGAGTGAGTAGAGGGTCTGCGGGTCGATGATTTCGCTCTCAAAGTCGTCGCACGACTCGTGGAGCGTCCTCCCGACGGCGCATTGCAATTCCGACACCGTCGTGCATCCCATCGCGATTGCGTCGCGGCACGCCTGCTGCAGCTTGGCCGGGAGAATCGACTGCGCCAGCCTCGGATCCTGTCACGGATGTGTCGCGGACGCGTCATCGGATGTACCGTCGGTGTGCCGGGGAGGCTACCAGGCAGAGGGTGGGCCGACGGAGCAACGGGCGCTCG